AAAGCTGGCCATAGAACAACATATAAAACATATGCATAAAAAAAATTTCAGTATAATTTCGTTCAGGGTACCCACCAAAAGAAAAATTTCCGGAAATTTTTCATAGAAGCGTTTGAAAATAACGGTATTTGATCTGCTATAAAATAGAGCTGTAAAATTATAATATAATCTATTACATGACAAATTTTCAAACCCGGGAAAATAAAAGCAAAAATATTATATTTTTTCGATTTTGAAGATATTACCAGACTCATTTGCCAATTTCGTAAATCAGCCAGACTTATTATTATTAACAGTTCATGATTGTATCAATTTATATACTAAATTTTCTGCCACACTCACTTTCCACTATCTGAGATATTCCAAACTGCTATTTTTATAAGCTTTATGTTCTAGTTTAGTAAATGTAAAATATTTATGACTGGGAAAATAAGTGTCAGACTCAAAATGTTTGTTTTTGTCACTAAGAGAACAGTTTATTTTCATATACACCGATTGGAAAAATGAGTACGAGTAAAATTCACTGCCTCCTGAACTAAATGTAAAATTTCAGAATCAATCAAATGGCACGATTTTTCTTTATTAATTTCTGTTCTGAAATCTGAAATGTGTGGATAGATGTGCGATAAATGTTCGAATTATTTTTGGGGGGGCTAATTTGGTTTTTGCCCCCCCCTAACTTCGCCCATGGTTAAGTGGAAGAAAATTTTTTTTAAACTTTAGAAAGTGAATTTCGCCTTTTGTTTTCTTTAATAAACTATTAGTAATATTAATTTTGTATAATGCTGCAATGAAAACAATATAGACTTTTAGTATTATTATTATTATTATTATTATTATTATTATTATTATTATTATTATTATTATTATTATTATTATTATTATTATTATTATTATTATTATTATTATTATTATTATTATTATTATTATTATTATTATTATTATTATTATTATTATTATTATTATTATTATTATTATTATTATTATTATTATTATTATTATTATTATTATTATTATTATTATTATTATTATTATTATTATTATTATTATTATTATTATTATTATTATTATTATTATTATTATTATTATTATTATTATTATTAGTCACCACTTGATGAATTCATATCTGACCCTAAGAGTTCGTCTCCAAAAAATTTCATATTATTTCTTAAATCAAGTTGATTAACCATTCAACCATTTCTGTAGATAGGTTAGAACTTGTATCTATATAAGTTTCAAAGGATTTAAAGATTCATCTTCGTAACATATATAAAAATATTAATAGTAGCTTCAAAGTTTCAGCTTTCTTATGTAGGGTATAACTAGAATGAATATATATTGATACAAAAACCTCCTGTATAACAATTTTCTAAAAATTTGCCTAGACTCTCAAAAGGAGGCGGTTCGTCTTTAAAAATTTACAAACAATATTATTTTACCAAATTTAACAATAAACAAAAATAAATTTTAAATTGTTTTGTCTTCTCTTCTTTATTTGCCTGTTGTCTCCGCTTGTATGCAACAAGCCTTCACCTGTCTGCTGGTCTCTGCCTATCTGCTCGTCTCTACCTATCTGCTTGTCTCTGTGTGTGCTGCTTGTCTCTATCAGTGCGTATCTGTCACTGCTTACCCCCCTTATAGAGCTTGATTTTTACTAAACATGTTGATATCGGTTTTGGTTTTGGATTTCTATTTTTTTTTTGTTTCAACTCCTTGACTCCTATTTTATTCAATTTTTTTTTTAATCAATTGGCTTTGTCCCCTAATTTTTTGATTCTTTTTAAATTCTAAATAAATTTAATACTTTGTTCCATACTCGTAAGTTCGATTAACGTTCAAAACAAAAACAAGAAAAGCGTAAACAGAAACAAAAGCGGCCAAATCATCGGCAGTGGCAGGGGTACAGACCCAGGCACAGAGAGAAACGAGTAAGTGAGGTTAATTAAAGTAATTTGCAAATTGATGAATGCGAAGACGAATTATTTGAATTGACAAACAAAATGAATAGCACAATTAAGCGGCTAATTGAATGATTGATGCAAAAGGCTTTATTTCACAATTCCCTCTCTACGTCTCTCTCTCTTACCCGTTCCGTTTCTTTGGGAGTATATGCTACGTTTGAGTAGCAGCGAGAGTAACAAAGTTTGCTAGACCGAGCGAAATTATATGACAAATGACAAACAATGGACCACTTAAATTAGTTTATGAAGCTCTCCAGTTTATAAAGCTTTTCATGTGGTCTGAAAGTCAATATTAACTCCGATGTATGTTTGAATGGCCAAGGCCGGTTGCCTTGTCGGGTTGTGTTCCAACCTTTCAAGAAGTTTATGTCTTATTTATGGACGCGCTTATCAAGGGACTGCTTGTTCTACCGAATATTATCATTATTATTATTACGTCGCACATATTTGTATATTTGAAATGGTCCGGTTCATTATGTTCTATTTCAGACAATAAATGTAAATTACATATCTTATCTACAACTGTTAAATTTTACATATACAGTGTAAAAAGAAATGCCTTTATGTTTATGTTTGCACTAGACAAGTATTAAAAGTAATTTAAAAAAACTGACTTTAAAATCGTGCAGATGCCATTACCTCATCTTAACCAAATTATGGGACGACCCCAAAGGAACCCCCTTACTAACAAAAAAAGAATCATTGACATCGGACACCTTGTTAAAGAATTATCGCTGAACATACATAAAAAAATATATACCGACGAATTGAGAACCTCTTCCTTTCTTGAAGTAGGTTAACAAAGGAGTATGAAACAACAAAATTAGTATAAGAATATCGTATTATAGAACAGTTCGTATTTGATTCGTTTACCAATCATTTTCTGCCCTAAGCTAAGCATATATTCGTTACATCAACAAGTTATTTAATGAATCCGTCCACATGTCACATTAAATAACGTCTTAAGTTTGTTAAGTTATCGTATTAAAGAGCAACGCTGTTATCGTCGTCATATTCCTTATAAAGCATAACATAAAAGTCAATGTACCCACGGCTGTTACAACCATATATGCAGGTCGTAAGTTTAAAAATAAAAATTCAGAGAAACTGGGCAACTTTTAATTTGGCCCCCGTATCTCTAAAACTAGTCATATGATTGAGTTAGGCCTATTGACACTTTTGGTTACTGGGTTGAATACAACAACAGGAAATTTACGTAGGTACACTCAGTATTATTAGGTACAGTTGGATAAGAGATGATAAGAAAAACATTCATCATTGTAGGGTCTAAAGATAAAAAATACGCTTGCCCGTGTAATAAAGTTACACCCCAAACCACGAACAACATCTAAAACAATAATTTGAGAAGTTGGTCCTTCTCTCTGTTCGGGCGTTGTTACGAAAGACGTAGTTAAGATTGGAAACAAACTATTCCCGCTCAAGATGATCTTTATTGAAAAGCCAAACAATAGGAATGGCTCCCGGTATCCCGAACACTAAACGATAAAACTACCCCGGCAAGAGAGGAATATAAGGAGATACGAGGAGGAGCATTCGATTTAGGCATAATAGATAAAGATTTTTCTAAAGTTCCCATTTCGTTGCCGCTAACATTGTGATCCATTCTGTTTGGAACTTTATGTGGTGCAATGAAGCGGCCAAAGATTTTGCGGTTAAAACGGGAGAAATACAAGCGCCACAGAATTGAAAAATATACGTTTGAATAGACATAAAAAAATCTCGCTTTTGCTGTATTTAAATATTTATATTTCTAAACTTAGAAGCCTATAAAAAGTTTTATCATAGTTAACAAAATTAGTAAAAAATTAAACCTAGATATACATACTTAAGATCTTAAGTGGTTTCTATTTTATTTGTAACTCGTCTTTAGAAACCACTTAATATCTTAGGTATGTATGTCTAGGTTTAATTGTTTACTAACTTTGTTAACTATGGTTAAACTTTTTATAGGCTTGAAAATTACTGATTAGCCGAAACCGGTCGCCTTGAATAATAATTATAAATATGTAAGATTGATTTTTAGTTGTTTTATTTTCTCATTTATATTTTTAGTCAACTAAAACCAATAAAGATTTCTTTACTTTTTTTTAAAGTCATCTTTGCATCTTAATAAAATAACTAAGTTACATCAGTGAAACTCGCGAGTTGTTCTTTTAATAAGTCTTAATATTTTTATATATTTACTTGTAACTGAAAAACTGGACGTTAAAGCTAAGAGTTGTGTCGAAAATAACTCCATGATCTTTAATTTGCTTAACTCTATCTAAAAGTTGACCATTGATTGTGTAGTCAAAAATAGTGAGTTGTTGAGAACGATGGAACAGAATAATGTGACATTTAAATCTATGCCGTTGTATTTACACCAATCGGATAAATTCTTCTTGCAAAATTGAACAATCTTTGCAACTTCTATGTTAACTGGTTCTCCTACAGCTTGTTTAATCAAGTTATTAACCCTTTCTGAACCGATTGAATTGAAATTAGATTCCTGTAAATTAAATATCAAAAGATTATTAGCCCTTTTCTCACGTTCATGTAATTTACTAATGAAGTCTTTAGTGATGCCAAAGTTTTCGCTCTTTTCATCTTTCAACTTTTCAACTTTCGCCTTTAATGTTTTAACCTTTAATTGTCTAACTAGCATAGGTACAGTTTTAAATATTAAACGAAAATCCGCACAAAAATAAACCATAGTTCTTTTTTGGATAACCGCCGCTTGGAGCTCACATGTACTCAGGCCAGTGCACTCTTCGTTAGGATGCCTTATACCACGACAACTATCACAAGAAATTGTCTTTTCGCCTAATAAATCATTACAGATTGCACACTTAATAACCATTTTAATTTTTCAAATATATCTCCTGGACCCTGGACTTTAAAGATTTTATTTATATTGACCAATTATTATCTTATCACATATCAGCTTATAGTTTTTGTGAAATGTTTTTGATTTACAAACCCAAAAATCTAACTTATTTATGAATTAGAATGCAAAAAAGAAATTTTCGAAACATATTTATCAACTCTTGTTTTTACAATAAAATACTTAATATTAAATAAATTTAAAAATAATCCAGCGGTGGTGGCCTATTGAAATGATTATTTCTCGCTGGTCTGACATCTAGTTCAACGTAATCATCGGTATAACGTTGATTCGGATGCGCTTCATATCTAGGATCTTCGTAAATAGTAATTCGCCTTCTTGGTGAATCAAGATGACCACTCGGTATATAAGGTTTATTGTAATAAGTTTCACCGTTGTAATTATTTTGATCACCGTATCTTCTTCCGGAATTTCTTCTGTCGTCATTCCTTCTGTCATCGTAATATTGCTTGCGATTGTGGTTTTGTAGATTGTTCGCATCGTGTGCGTAGTTTTCCCCATTCACGTAGTGCCCTTGGTTGCCTCTTTCATTGTTGTAGGAAGAACTGTCTAAATGATCGCCTCTCTTGCTGTCTTCGAGGGCATTTGCGTAGGTACCTGCACATAAAATTGTTCTTTTGGTATATATTTATAAACAAATTTAGAATAAGATGCATTTATAAAATTGACAAATCACTCCAGTAGAGTATGCAGAGTGGGCAACACCAGTGGTGTCGGTTTTCAAACCTAACGTTATACTTCAAGGTTATCTATCCAAAATTCTATTAATATCAATTACCAAAGATAAGTAAGCTAATTGTAAATTTAGTAAAAAATTGTGAAGTTTGTATCTTGATTAGTTCATATCCTCAAAAAGCTAAGTTGGGTTTAAGGTAATGGCCTGAAAAAACAACATTCGAGGATTTTTGTGGATCAGTTTTAAATAAAATATTTTGTAATTTTCGTGCACTCGCAAAGGACCAATCACGGGTATTTTTTCAATATTCCTGTTACATTATAGGGGGGTGAAATTAGCAACCCTTACTTTATTTCATATCAAAACTTTTTTTCGAGATGAAGTTTTATGAAATAAAATTAATTTCACCCCCCTATAATGTAACAGGAATATTGAAAAAATACCCGTGGTTAGTCCTTTGCGAGTGCACAAAAATTACAGAATTTCAAGTTTCTAGCTTTACTGAAATTTTAGAAAAAAAAACTTAATTTTAGTCACCACCTTTTAAGGATGATATCTCGGAAAGGGGTGGGCTGAGAAAATTTTGTTATAGGAAAGACCCATCTTAATTTCATACGAGCAATCACCTCCTGAATTTTGTCGCATGCATTTAGAAACACCCTGTATATTATAATATATATTTTTGAAATGTATTTTTATATAAAAAATATGAAAAGGTGGAAATAATGTATATTGTAAATAATCATAATGATACCTCACTGGACATTTTCTTGTATTGATTGTTAACGGTTTTTTTCATATGTACACATATAGAAAGTCTTTCTTGTATTTTAGAACCGACAAATAAATCTTTTAGTGAGTTTTATTTCTTCAAAATTGAAGTAAAGATAAAGTTGTTATTCTAACTTCAAATTAAGTAAGAAAAAAAAAACTAGAAAACTAACAATAACAATAAAAAATCTATTAACCTTGATTGTTTTTGAAAACATGTTGTCCACCCTCACTGTCCCCGTCATCATAAAAACTGGAATTGCTTCCGACTTCGTCCTTGTGATAAGAATTATGAAAACCGTTTTTATGGTGTCCTTTTTTGTGCTGGACCTTATCCTCTAAATTAGTCCCTTCCACGCCGTTTTTATTAAACATTATCCCTGTATTGTAATGTTTAGCATCTAAATGGTCATTTTTTACGTTACTTTGCTCCCCGTAACGCGTATTCAATGCCGAATCTAATAACTTCTTTTCATACAATTTGTTGAAGCCTTCGTTTCCATCAAAATTGGTCACACCTGAAAAATTAACATTTTGAAATCAAATTAAAGGAATAGGTATATACAGACCATTAGAATGAACCTAGTCAAGGTAAAAATCAAAAATAAAATATAGATATAGGTACAACGAAATGTTGAAGAAATGGATTGAATTAAAATGGATTAGAAAAAGAAAAACAGACACTGCAAGAAAAAAAAAATGAATACGAAAATATGAAAAAAGTTCGAAAAAGGAAGACTTCATAAATCTCTAGAAAAAAAAAGGATAATAAAATAGAAATGGGAAAATCTTTTTTGGTACCATGAATCAAGAGAATTATGTAGATAGGAAAATCACTTATAGTCCGGGAGTTGGTGAACATTTTTGGTACTTATTTTCGCAGAGTGTGTAATACTATTACTTAATAGTTTTTCAACCCCGTCATAAGGCTCTTTATTTCTATTGGATGTGTGATTAAATTAGAATAAGTTATGAAAGTTTTTTTTTTAAAAGTGTTAAATTTATGTTTGCTCTAATAAAATTGACAATATTAGTTATAATGACAGTTAACAAAAAAGCAAATATAACTTACCTTTTTGTAAGGAAAGAGCAGAATTACTAGCATCTTCGAACTGCCCACCATTTTTCACCATTCCACTTTGAATAATCACAGGAATGCCTGTAGCATCCGATAGACGTGAACAAAAATGATAAACAATTAAAAACACAATCAGACTCCACATTTCATTTGAACGACTGCAATCCTACTACTCTAACAAAAAACTCCGAATTACTGCAAATACAATTTTTATATCGCAGGTCATTGAAGAGTGTAACCTTTAAAATTCGATATCCTGTCTGAAATTTTACGCTAGATTGGTGTCATTGAAAAGGATGTGCTGTTTCGTTTGTTTTTACAGTGAAAAAGGTTAATTAATCGGTATCCTCAGTGTAAATTTTTACGGTTTTATGGAACAATAGATTTAATTTGTTTAAGTAAGGATACCGGTTAGTATTAGTATCCTTCAGTATCGGGGAACTGTTTTGGTGAGACTAAATATATTGGAATATCGAAAATTGTGTCAAAATAAATAATTATGTTTCCTGCTTATTCCCACACTTAATTTTTTGAAATTCAGGTCACCTTGCAACTGTTTTCGCTGAAGTCATTATCAGTAAAAAAAAAAAAACATTTAGAACTTTAATTTTAGAATTAAACTTCTTGTTTCGTCTAAATTTCAGAAAAAATATTGCCCGCTTGCAAAAAATCTAATGTGTCAAACACATGACTTTCTTGTTAGATTATTTTATACAACGTATTGTCCCTGTAAATGTTTAGACTCATTATCAGTTTAGAGGATAAACTAAATACGTACATTTTCCATACACGTTTTACTCGAAACATTTTTTTATATACAGGGTGGGCCATCGGTATCGCCTCGGTCTGTAGGGCGGAAACTTTTTAAAATTTGTTTTCACACCTGGATATTTATTCTTGAAAGCAATAACATAATATTAAGAGATATTAAAAAATAATTATTGGGCAGTAGAAGAACTGATAATTGGAACAATCTCTTGGGGCTGAGACATGCTAAGATACTTCTGGGTGAATATAACCAGAAAAGATCGGAAGCCTGCATCTGCCTGGGCAAGAACAGGTTACGAATTGTATCAGGGATCCGTACCGGGTATTGCCGACTAAAAAGGACACCTTAGTAAACTGAAAGTAGTAGAGGATAGTGAGTGCAGATTCTGTGAGGAGGAGGACGAAACATCCACTCACATTCTAACTGAATGTGTAGCACTCCAGAATCCAAGGGCACTATACCTAGGAGGATATCAAATAGAAGAGGGAGATTTACTTAACTTAAAACCACTCCAAATCCTACACTTTCTTGAGAAGATAGGATTGGAAGGGTCATTATAGGCATTGAGACATTTCCTTGGTGCATTAGCGACAGAATGGGGCACAATAGATCTTTTAAGTCGCAGTGTATTAACATAACATAACATAACATAACATATTTTTTTTTAAGGTGAAGATTTAGAAAAAGTCCTTTATATCTCACAAGGAAAGTTAATGTTTAATTATTCAGTAAAACATTGAGTGCGACCGGTTTCGAAGTATCATCACTTCATCTTCAGGCTCGCCATACTCTCCATCCACTAGGGAATACTACAAACAAGTTTCATCAAATGTGGGGGATGAAATAAATTGTAAAATAAACAATGTTACAAGTTATATAAAAGTTAAAAATATTTGAAAAACAAATATTAGTCAGTTTAAATAGTTAAAACTTTAAAATATTCAAGACTATACAGAACAAGACACATACATTAAACAGATTAAAAAAGAAGGCTTATTTTAAACACATTGTTGTTTACTGTACTTGCTACTTTTCTCAAATTTTTCCATTATGGCCTATTTTAGAGAAATTATATAAAAAAACGTTCTTTATTGAGATGGTACCAGCAGGACATCGACTGAAGTACTTTAACCCAAAAATATGTTATAATATATTATTCATTAGGTACATTTTAGGTTAAAATTATACTTTTGATGAATCCATAATTTAGGAAAGTACTGGTTAATATGACCCTTTATCAACAGAATATGACTCACTGGAACCTATTTATTTTTAAGATTTCCAAAGTACCAATTGGATTTATATTTTCTCAGAAAGTGTATTAGGTGTATTTCTGAAAAACACACTTTATTTAATAAGCATTGCCTATTGAAAATTTTAGCAGCACTGTGTTATTTCATCCTCTCTACTCTATTTAAATCCCCAGTAGTTTCAGCGATATTACTTAGGAAAACCGCCTTTTAAAAGATTTAAAAATATATTTATAACTAGTACTAATAAGGAATTTTGAAGCATTATCCTTTATAATATATTTTTATTAATCGTAATTGCGATTAATTCGACTATTTTAGTGTATTATAATTTTTACGGAAAAACAGAGCTCTTGAACGGCAACAAAGATGATTAAAAATAAAAATATACAGAATTCAGAATTGACATCCTTGACCTTGAAGCCTCGAACACGTGCAAAAAAGTCTTCATAATATTTTTCGATGCAAGTTAGTCGGTTCTAAAATCTTTGCATTTTAAATAAAGGTACTACACCAACATTTTTAAACTGTCGCTGTCAAACACTAATAGATATCACTTTATCCACAACTGGTATCTATAAATCAATTCTAAACTCTAGGAAGACGGACAGGGCAACCTATGCCCACCTTCTCCAAGAGGCTCTGAAACAATAACAATGCTTTGGAGAAGTACTCAAACACTATCCAAAGCACAATAAACAATGCCTATAAGAAATCATGTCCCCTGAGGCTGGTCCAGTACGATCAGACGACTACCGCATGGTGGTATCATGAATTGGATCACCTCAGGAAGATGGCTAGGAAATCCTTTAATAAGGCAAAAACCACAAAACTCAAACAGGACTGGGATACTTACAAATCTCACCTCAGAGAATTAAAAAAAAATCGTCAGACAAAAATAGCAGCAGCAAAAGAAATAACCAGAAACAATATCACTGAAAGGAACATGCTCATCTATACAGATAGCAGACAAGCACTACTCACCCTGAACAGACCACGTTACCACCCTCCACACGTTACAGATACAGATAGGCGGTTCTACCGAAATAAAAATAGTTTTCATATTGTCGCGCGGAAGCTTACCCTGTCCTTTGTTTACTTCCGCGGTATGGAGTTTCTCGAATATACCAGAAGAAGCGGTACTTGACGTTGAGTCATAGAGATGAAATTCTAAGACATTCCACACCGTCTAGAGACTTCTCATAGCAGAGTTTGACTTGGAATAAATAGCGCGACTTATCGGCGGACGGGCAGTTGAGAATAAAGTGTTGGACAGGAAAGTTAAATTGTAATAAATCAATTAGAATTGTGAGTTAGTGCCTAAGTATTATATAAATTAATTAGTACGTCACAAATAAATTGTAAATAGTGTGTTTTAAATAAATAAACTCTAAATAAATTAAACTATCATTATAATATATTACGACATAAATAGTAATGTTTTTCGTATTAAAATAACTATGTTCTGGTTTGAAATATTTTTTTGTTTCGTTTACGTGAGAAAATATAATAAACTTATTGAAATAATAGTTTATTTGTACCAAATGAACTCAAATATATTTCTATTTATAAAATTTGACGTTGTTTAGAAGATAAAATTGATAAAATTAAGCTACCAAATTTTTATAAACAATAAAAATTTATAAAAATCTGCCAAGATGCTTGTTTCCGCCAAATGGTTCATACAGTAGGTCAGAACATTCTTGTTCTGAAATGAACGAGATGGTGTTGACCTTTTAGTTGGACCGCTATTGAATATTTTGAACAACAATTATCAAATGAGTATGCTAGGCGTTATCTGTGAGCATTACAGAATCATGGGGGTAAGCGCAACCTTAATCAGCTTAAGTTTAAAATTTGGTGTTTTCATTTTTATCTATTTTAGTTAATTTAAAAATTTCCTCAAATATCTCGAATACGGACCATTTTAGAAGAATCATGTATAGGAAATAATAGAGAATTACATCACAAGCAACTTTTATTTGAATAATTATCTTTTCCAAGCGTAAATAACAGATATATTCCATAAAGTAAAAAAACTACCTCGTATAAAGTATCCCCCATTTGTTCCGACTATGACCAAAATCTAATCAGCTGACCACAGATTGGATTAAAGATTATTTTTAAAATTTGGTGTTTTTCTCGATTTCTGTTCATGAGTTATCGGTTATACAGTCACACACGCAGACATCTTGGCAAAAATATTCAAAATTGATTCAGGAGACTGTAACACGTAAAAATCCGTCGAAAATTCGAGAAAAATCATGATTCCTATACTTTCCTTATCTGTATATAGACATTTACAGCATTTAATTTTTTTTAATTGAAATATTTGGCGCAAAAATTAACAGACATTTCATTTTATTAAGTATCTACTGTAACACCCTGTATCTTCTTTATTACCTAAGGTAAATTCATAAATGTTTTGTGTCCCTTTATTAATGGACCACCTGTAAATAAGTCTATCTCTATCTCTAAAGGTAACGCTTTTAGATTATCCAAATGTTGAAATGTCGCAATATTTTGTAGGGATCTTGAAGATAAATTTAACGCTACAAACCATATCTTCCTATCTCAAACGGTTATCAAGATATTTAACAAAAACAATGATTTTTCTGTTAAAATTTACCCAAAATAGATCTAATATTTTATTCTCTGCACTTCCGAATAATTTATTTGTAATTTATTCGCGCACGAATCTAATACGGATGTATATTAATACGTCACATAGCGCAAAATGCATATTGCCTCAGTATTTGGTGGTTTAAATGTTGTTTTCTCGTTTCTCCTGTATACGGCCTTTGAAAATCTCAATATTAAGCTACGAATATTGTAAATAATGCAATTCGCGCGTGCAAAGCCGCGACCATTAATAAAAATCACGCAATAAAGAATATATTATTTAACAGTTGAAGAAAAAGAGTTAATTTTATTGTAAAAGTTAGTTCCCGTAAGAGCATTAAAGGCCGTTTCAGTAAAAGAGAACTGTGATTTATGATATTTATGAGGAAGGAGAAAAGTTTTCTGTTCGAGAAGGAGGCAAAAGAAAAAGAGGAGAAGTGAAGTGGGTATTATGTTGCAATCCGCTAACGACGAATATAAACAGGCAATTGTCTGAAATGAAGCAATCAGTGGCCCGACCAGTGATAAGAGGCACCACGTAACGACACGCCAGGGAAACATTAACAGACTCCTCGTCAGATTACTTACACATTCCGATAGCAAAAGTGAAGGAGAAACCAACCACCCGGTCTGACATGGCGCACCGTCCCCATTCCCGCCGCATTATTCATCCAAACAAAGCTTTACAAAACGTTTACGGAACTCGTTTCGTACACCGTACACACACCTTTTTTTCGCGTTATTTTACTCACACCTTGTTAAAGATCACTCTCGAAATTTTTGCATATTTTTTAACTAGATTTTTTCGACAATCGTTGATAGGTTAAACTTTAGTCAGTCGATGTAAACTTAGC